GGGCGGCCGGGGCGAAGAGCCGGCCTCGAAGCGGAGCTGAGGGAGGAGGAGGCCCGGGCGGCGGCTCCGGCTCTCCGCCGGCCCGTGGGGGGTGAGGGGGGTCGTTTGGGGTAGAGGCGGTGCCTGAGGCCGGGTGGGGTACCCAGCGGGAACCCAGTTCCCGGGTCACGAGTTTCGCTGCCACAGGAATCTCGTCTGCTGCCAGGTTCGCTCACGACTCCGCCTCGAGGCTTTCACGGGGGCCTTTTTCCTTTTAGCAGCTCATTTCCTACCCAGAAAGGAAAACAACTCCCCCAAACCTGGTTCCAGCCGTCTCCCTACCCAGCACCTGACCTTCTGGGCTTGGGTAGTGACTTTGAGGGAGGGGGGTTAAGCACATATCTGATTGAATGGGCAAGGGAGTCGTTGTTGTTTTTGGTCCTCTTGTTCTTAACTGGGAACTGAAGTGGTTCATCCGTGAGATTGTATATCACGACCATCTTACCTTGGACAAGGCTCTTCCTGTATCAGAGTGAAAGGTGTGCTGTGCATTGTAAGACGAATTCCGATCCCCAAATTCCGAATTGTAACGTGTTAGAATGAAGGTAAAAGTCTTGAGGAAATACGTAAGAAATGAGCTTTAGAAGTTCATAGATTGTTTCTTTGTAAACTTAAGAGAAATGAAGGAAATATTTTAAAAAGTTAAATGTTTGATACAAGCAGCTGCTGAAGAAAATCTTGCTTTTTAATTGCAGGCGCAATGTGACGTCCTTTCTGTACGGTGGTAGGGACTGATGAAAGTGTGTGCAACAGAAGTGAATGTTTAATTGTAAAGATTCGGAGCAACCTAAATACTTAGGAACTATATAACATTGCATTAATTTAACAGTTCTTAAAAGGTGACAAAATATTAAGGTCATTTGTCATATAATAGTACTGTTAGATTTAAATTTTATGTTTTATGAGGATAATATAGTCCCACAAGAGTCCTACATAGAGATATCTGCAGATTCTGAACCAGAGTGGCGTCTCTCAAAATCTTTTATCCTGGAATAAAAAATAAGAAAGGGAAACTTCGTTTAGCATTTTTTGAGAGACTCTTAATAGTTAGGGGTGAGCAGTTTTTCACCTGTGACTTGGTCATAAAGAACTGTTAAGTGCATACAGTGCTAACCAAGTAAACTAGGTGGGCTTTTTTTTGCGGGGGGGGGGGCTTGGTTTTTTTGAGACAGGGTCTCCCTGCAGCCCCAGCTGGCCTGGAACTCACTATGTAAACCAGGCTGGCCTTGAATTCAGAGATCCGCCTGCCTCTGCCTCTCAAGTGCTGGGACTACAGGCGTGTGCCACCACGCCTGGCTAGGTGGGCTTTTTATGACCATTACCTCCAAACCTTTGAGAAACTGGCTTTCTTCATCCAGAAGAGGGCGCAAGAGAAGGACCAAATGTGTTGAGTAATTGCGTTTCTAACCCAAAAGCTAGATTGATCAGTACTCAAGATTTGAAGTCCGTTTGGCAGCCCTAAATAAAAGCGTTAGGAGTCCATTAATTTTTTTCACCAGAACTACCATCTTCACATTTTTCTTAAGTGCATAAGCTTTAAAAGATGTCTCTTCAGACTGGTCTCTGTAAGAGTTCCAAGCCAGCTGGGGCTACAGGAACCGTATCTCAAAAAAAAAAAGAAAAAACCCAAAAAGAAAGATGCCTCTTGAATATGTTTTGCAAATCAATAAGCCCATGGGGAACAACTTTATGTAGTTAAATGAGGTTTTTTGGTCATTAAAACTTAAAGGCTTAAGTGTAAATAAGCTGGGGTTTTTTTTGTTTGTTTTGTGAACTGGGGGTTGAATCTAGGGCCTTGTGCCTAATATAGGCACAACTTTACCACCCAGCTACAGACCCAGCCCTTAATATTTTGTTGTAACTCAAACCTGTAATCCTCCTGCCTTGCCGTCTGGAGTAGCTGGAATTAGTGTGAGTTGCCAGCTTCTAACTGAGGTTGTTTTTTTTTTCCCCCCTATGGGTAATTCCTGATCTCTTAGTCACTGAGTAGTAATCCTAGGAAGAATGATTCTAGTTTACTTGGAAGTTTTTGCTTTGGTTCAACTAATTTAGATAACAATTTCAATAAGAAAAATTAGATAGCAGTATCAATAAGAAAAATTGGGACTAATGAGCTAGAGGATATAAACATTGTTTAATTCATGACAGTATTAAATGATATAGTTTTTTACTTTGATCCAGAGTTGCATATAGGGAAAGTTATATGTCTATTGAGTCTTTTCTTAGGAACTTTCTGGTTAATCCCTTAATTTTTGTTTTTGTTTGAGACAAGATCACAGGGATATAGTACCATACCTGGCTTAACTTCTCTGCTTTCCTAAAGAAAATTTTGTAGAAAAAAAACAAACAGTGGTCTCATCTTTCCTATTTGATACTTGGACTCTTTCCATGAAAATTTTTTCTTTTAAGACAGGGTCTTCCTGGCCTGGCGCAGAACTCAATAGACCAGGTTGACTTCAAATTCAGATTTGCCTGCCTCTGCCTCCCCAGTGCCAGGATTAAAGGTGTGCACTAAAGGAGCCATGCCTGGCTCCGTGTGAAATTTTATTTGGCAGACTAGAGGTGTAGGACACCTGCCTAGTATAGGCAAGGCCCTGGGCTCAATCCTTAGCGACTGAAAAATAGTAATGTTACTATAGAAATTAAGAACATTTTTTTCTCCAACTACAAGGGATTGAATGTTGGCCCTCACACATGCAAGTCAAGCACACTACCACTAAGCATTTCTTAGCAATGAAATTAAGAATAATAAAATGAATTTTGTGGTACAGACTTTGTGCTATTTTAGGAATGGTTATACCATCAGTATATTTATATTTTTTTTCTGGCAGTTCATACCGAAGAAAATAAATTTGTTCAATAACTCTTAGAATTAAGGACTTCCCAAAGGACCTGATGTGGGTTATATACATATTTTCATGTATATGTGGAGGCAAGAGATGGCATTAGGAATCTATCACTCCTCCTTATTTTTTGAGGCAGGGTCTCTCACTGAACCTGGAACCAATTTGGCAAACAGGCTGACCATTGAGCTCCAGGGATCTTCTTGTCCAGCCCTCCCAGCACTGGGGCTACCCAGCTTTTGTGGGGTTTCGGTGAATCTAAACTCAGGTCCCTACTTTACCCACTAAGCCATCTCTCCAGTCATGATGTGAGTTATATTGATTAGTGTTTACCATTTAGAAGAAATACAACTCTGAAAAAATTTAAAAGAATGTGCAATGCTTTGTGCCTTTTACCATCCTCAGACCAAAAATCTAAAAATGTGAGTGAAAGTGTTAAAAGATGCTTGTAATCTCAGCACTTGTGAGGCAGGAGGATCTCTAGTTCCAGGCCAGCCTTGAATACATAGCAAGTTCATGTCTAGCTTGAACCAACATAAAGACTTTGTCTCAAAAAAAAAACCCTCAAAAATATGAAGTATTAAAGGCAAATAATGTAATATTCCTATTGGACCTCACCCATGTCCATTGAAAAAATGGTAGTGAATGAAATGAGTTTATTGTACTATATCTTTCTAATGTCTTAATCTCAGGATGCTTTTGTATTTTATAGAGCAATTGATAGCTAATCACCATTTTTAGTGTAGTGAGCAGAAAAACTTTACATTTTTAGTGTAGTGAGCTGAGCGTGGTGGCGCATGCCTTTAATTCCAGCATTTGGGAAGCAGGCTGATCTCTGGGAGTTTGAGGCCAGCCTGGTCTCCATGGCGAATCCAGGCCAGCTGGGGTATAGGAAGACCCTGTCTCAAAAAGACCAAAAAAGAAAAAAGAAAAACTTATAGTTAGTTGACTCAATTGACTCACTTGTAGTAATAAGAATTTAATTGTTAACAGTGGTTGAAATCTTTATATTCGAATACTTGACAGTTGTGAAAATTTAAATTCTTTCATTGTAGTTTTGTTAGTAAATGTTTTCTCACTGCATCTTTTGAGCAGACAGTGTTGCATAGAGTGGCAGGAAGTCATGGGTTTCAGACAACAGTTCAGGTGACCAATTCTGCCACTCTGGTCTCTGGGTCTTTTAACCCAAATATGAAATGACAAAAAGAAGTATTAATAAGGGTTAGAAACGTTGGTACATGTTGCTTTATGTTACGTTTTTACTGAATTTGGCTACTTGGAAAAAGTCCACAGACATTAGAGCTTGATCTGATAGATTCATTGGCAACTAGCCAGTTATGGTTTCATTGAAATATTTAAT